CAGGAGGAAGATATTTTTGGCTTTGTCTTTGTTACCATCTTGCTCTTATTTTAAATTGGCATTAATTTAATGTCCCCGGGTCAAGTCTGTCTTGCTTATGATGGTAATTGATGAGCATTCTCCCTGTCTTTTATCTCAGCTGATGAAGATTTTCATCATGCTTTCTTTCCCTGGTCCGTTGAGGAGGAGGAAGAATGACAAACAGCTGGGTGACCCCTGTGGCAGCCAGGCAAGATTAACTCACTACAATAGCATAAGGATTTATTGTACTCAACAACCTTGTTTACAATTCCTGTCCCCATCCACCACCCCCAAGCTAGGGTAATTTGGTATGTAATTGAAAATGATGTGATTATATGAAAATCAAAGCTAATGCGTCAGAGAGACTATCAGGAGACACCTGAATATTTGACATATTTAATTCTCCCAAGTTAAGCGTCATTTCAGAGCTCTAAAATATAGTCTCTATTTTCTTAATGAATGTTCAGCTGAAGGATGAGTTCTTCTTTTCCAAGGCTTTTTCTTTCTGTAGTGGAGCTTCCACCTTATGCCAGTTTTCTAGTGATGTTTCTTTCTTAATGCAAAAACCACATCATGTTTTAACTGTCTTAGCTCTTAGTTATTTCTCTGTTTCTAATGGTTTTAGAACAAGACAGTGTGGGACTAAAGGCTAGGAGTGTTATCTATTCTGGGTATGTCTGTGCAAAGGGAAGGTGGTAAGATAAAACTCGTACAATATAAATTACAGCAAATCCCAGCCTTAGAATAACGTTCTCTTTATGCAAACAGCAAAAAAAAAAAAAAAAAAAAAAAAAAAAAACAAAACAAAATAGAGATTTCTCATTAAAATGAGCATGTTAGACACAAAACCCCTCCTGGACTCTATGTGCATGCCCCTGAGACAAATTACTGCATCAGGGTCAATCTGCTTTGCCAAAACTCCTATAGGAGCTCCTACCAACAGCTCCAACAGCTGTGCTGGCAGCTTGCTTATTTGCAGGAAAGTATTCTAGCTCCCAGCCCTCTAACACTCATGTCGGCTTGGCTTTCTTTTTTTTTTTCCCCAGGACTTGTTCTTCTGTTAGCTGATGAAGACGTGTATTCAGTGGGAAACTGGAATGAGGGCAGTACAAACCAAGTCTGAGTACTCAAAGCATGCTCTGTCTGTACTGGCATTACACATTATGAGTCTCTATCAAACATAATAATCTAATAAAACACCAGGTCATCTCAAGCATCTTTTTTAAAGGTGAAGCTGGAAAAAATGTTATTATGCTGAAATGATGCCATTATACATGACAAGCTTTTTGGTACTGTCATCTCTCTTTCTAGAAATAAGAAGAATATAACACTTCTTTAAAATATAACTGTTTCAAATCACCAGAACTGATATATGGCAAATGATCACCTGCAATCCTTGGATTAATTAAATAATTACAAGTCAATCTAACAGGAACAGGGGCTGCTAACAAGAGTGGCAGGAGTATGTGCAGGCTGTCTTCTCCACAACTGAAGCCTCTCATTCGAGTTTTGCGAGAAAAGCATTGTTTATATAGCAGAGGCCACCTACTTTCATGTGTGCCCATAAAAATTATTTAAAGCAACTGAAACTACCACCAAAATTCTGGAATCCTTCTTTTTAACAGAATCCTTGTGACAATCAGGACTCCTTCACCCACTAAAAGCTCTGGGAACAAACAGGATTAGATAGTGACTGGTGACTGTAGAGAACTAAGGACTAAGAATTCCTATTCTACAGGAAGTCTCATGCAGCCTTCTACTGCTGATAAGGCATAGAAATGCTGGATCTGCTACTGGATGATTCTGACCCTGAAAAGGATGCACCCAGTAAAGAGCTCTCACTAAAAAAAAAAAAATAAAAATTTTTTACTTTACTTAATTACACCAGACTGCCAAAATGATAAAGAATGAAGAGCAAAGAGTGTCCCAAAGCAAACAAACTTGAGTAGAATTTTATTACAGTACATTTCCACTGCTGCAGGCACCAACGTTGCTCCTTGTTGCCATGCTGCTGCTGAATTGGTTCCCCTTTGTACCTGTCTGGAAGTCAGAAATGCTACAGCACTGCTATATTTAGATTATCTAAGACTATCTGGCAATTCGATACACACAAACCAGGATAAAGTTAAAGGCAAAGGATGGTTGAATTGGGCTTTTTGTGCTGCAGGAAGAAATTTGTGTACCTTTGCTATTTTCCCAATATTTAGCATTGCTATGATTTTGAATCCAGGGAAGAATGCAAAGAATGTATTGTTTGAAAAGTTGTTGCACTTTTTGTAATAGTTTTTTTGCTTATTTGGAATCTATTAATAGGTTTGAGTATCTCTTGATTAAAAGAAAAATATCTTCCTTGCAATCTCTCAATTCCAGCTAACTTACAATTATTTCTAATGGCATTCTGTCCTCTTTGCTGTATGTGCTATTGTTTATTTATGCCAAGAATGCATATTAAGCTGGGACCAAGGGGTATGTTCCAAGTGCCAAATAGCAATTATTACTTATAATAATTATTACCTGCTGTTTGCAAAAATCTTGTTGCCTAAATAAAGGCGATATTCCTTACCTAAACAGTGTCTTCTGTACTAAAATACTTTGGTTCATTGATACCTGTCACAGCTCTTATTCAGTCATGAATTGATGCTGGGATCTCATGGTGGCAAGAATACTAAGCTACATCCCAGAATTTCTCCTCTCCTGGAAAAGCAAGATTCTCTTATAGCTAGCCTTTGGTGTCTGCAGTATATTGTTAGGCACTGAACAGTCTGAATAACAGTAATAAAATTGTGATTTAAAGAACCTATGCAGTACTTGTTTGGTTAATTTTCCCATTTGAAAGGAAAAAAACAAGAATATGTTATTTTGTGTTTGGAGGTTACATAAGGGAAGCAGGTCCAAGAACAGTGAGGAAGGAACATTAACAAAGTATTTGTATTACTGCTGACTATGTAGTAATGACCTGTGTGCTTGGGTCTCATGATCCCAATGGAGGAAAGGGAGTACCAAATGTGGCAGCTGTAAGGATTGCTGTGGATATCCAATAACTACTTTACTTGGCAGATTGTGTTTGGTAAAACTGATTTTTTTGCTTGCTCAGTATTTCTTTGTGCACTGGCTCTTTTCACAGCTCACTGGTTAATTTATTGGGTTGAGACAAACTTTTTTTTCACACTGTACACTGTGGAAAGTAATTTTACCTGTTTCTCATCAACGACTCAGATTATAATAACTCTTTCCTATAAAGTATATTGATATGTACTGTGAAAGCGAATTAAAACCCAATTACTTCATCTAGTTGTATCAATTTTTACTACATATTTAACTCTTTCATCCACTGGTGTGTTTCCTTTATCCTGTGCATTACATCCCTTGATGTCTCTTTTGGTCTGATTTTTCTGACTGTCTAGTGTTCACACACAGTGGAATTCTCTATTTTCTAATCTGACTTCTACATGGATTGTATTCCATAAACTTTTGCCCAACCAGTTATCTTGATTAGGTTTGTAATTTCTATTTTTTAATTACTGCACAATTTAGTACATGGTGTGCTAATGATTAAATTGAACACAGCTCTAACAAGCCTTCACCCAGGTAACACTTTACTTTGAGTAAATACAGTCAGCTTTTGCCTTACGACTCCACTGGATGTCTACAGGACTTGTCAATGCCAATTGTGTTATGCAGGTATGCATTTCCTGTAGACCCTTTAAGAATTACAAGGACATTGAAACTTTGCGTTTCACACCTTTTCACTTAAGAATCCATTATTGTGCATGTACCACTAGTTATGAGACTGTTTATTATGTTTACTGGATCAAATCCTTTACTAGGCAGAACAGTGCCAGCTATAAAAAAGGTGCATGAAGGAGAGAGTGAAGTGTATGTTCATTAAAGAAGACTTAGGGAAGACCTTATCACCATGTTCCAATATTTGAGGGGTGGCTACAAAGGAGATGGAGATTCTCATTTTACAAGAAGTCACATGGAAAAGCTGAGGGGTCATGGATGCAAGTTACTGCTGGGGAGATTCTGACTGGTCACAAGAGGAAAGTTTTTCCCAAAGAGAGCAATCAGCCACTGGAGTGACATTCCCAGGGAAGGGGTGGATTCCCCTGCATGGGGCACTTGTGAGGTTCAGCTGCACAGGGTGCTGGGACACAGTCTAGGTCATGCTTTGCCTAGGAAGGTGGGACCAGATGATCCCTGAGGTCACTTCCAACCTGGTGTTCTATGATTCTATGATTCTTCTAATTTAACTTGTACATAGCCTATAGAGACCAGAGGTGCACGAATTACACTGCCCCTAACCATGTGTTGTATTATATAGGAGTTAGCAAGTTTAAGCATTTTTTACTTCCATTTCACTACTGCTATGTATGTCTCTTTCTCATGCCCACGTCCCTCTTGTGTTGGAGCCCCAGATCTGGAAGCAGAGCCCCACGCGGCGGTATCACCAGAACGCCTCTAGATCACACCTTGTTTTGCAACGCATCCGCAGGTGATAAAGGCGGAGTGTGCCCGTGACTGTGCTGAAACCCGCATAACCACAAGGGTAACTTCGCGCCTACACTGATCCCACACCCTACAGCACCTCACACGATCCGCCCGGCGGGACGGTGCCCTGGCTCGTCGAAGGCTGCGCGGGGCACGGCACCACTGTCACACACTCTGTCACAACCACCGACGCCCCACTGTGTTTTTGTAGACCCCGCTGCCAGCGCTCCCCAGGAGGCCGCAATCGTCCCCCCGCGCTGCCCCTGCCGTCCACAGCGCGGCCTCGAATGCCCGCCGGGCTCCGCGGGGCGCGGGGTCTGCGCCGCCGGCAGGTGGTCAGTCACACCGGGCACCGACGGCTCCGGCAGGGCGGGGCGCCGCCACACCCTCCAGACGCGGCCATTGGCGAAGGCTGCTGTCAGTCAGCGGCGGGCGGGCGCGGGCGGTGCGGACCGCTATAAAGGTGGCGGCGAGGGGAACGGTTCGGGATGCGCCGTGGTGACCGGTTTGAGTGTGGTGCTCGCGGCGGCAGCGGGAAGGTTGGTCCAAGTGCGCAGTGCCACCGCAGGGACTCTCTGACAGTAGCCTGGACTCGCAGCCCTCGGTGCCACCTGTAGCCCCACTGCGTCCCGCGTGGCCGGCCGGCGGCAACATGGTGGATGTGTTCAGCGGGAGGCTCCTGGTCAGCAAGAACGGCCGCAGCGTGGACCCGGAGGAGGCCCTGCAAAACAAGGTCGTGGGCTTGTACTTCTCCGCTGGCTGGTGCTCGCCGTGCCGTGACTTCACGCCCATCCTCTGCGACTTCTATAAGGAGTTGCTGGAGGGGAAGCGCCCTCCTGCCCCCTTCGAGGTCGTCTTCATCTCCTCCGACCACAGCGCCGAGGAGATGGCGGGGTACATGAACGCCATGCACGGGGACTGGCTGGCCCTGCCCTTCCACGACCCCTACAAACAGTGAGTACCGGCGGCAGCATCCCCCCGCCCGCCAGAGTCCGGGGCAGTGCTGCGGGCGGGGGGTGTGCGTCTGCGGACACCCTCCTCGGGAGTGCGTGTGCTTTAGCGATAGGGAGGTGTGACCGCTGAGTACTCGTTGCTAAAGCACCACGGGACCTCCGCCTGCCTTCTGATCCGCTCCTGCCCCCAGGCTGCACCAGCGGCCTTTCGGGGGAGCGCACTGTTCAGCACCCAGTCAGAGCAGTCCTGCCTCCCTCCTGCCCTGTGGCAGCGGGTGCTGTTAGGGGGACTTCCCTGGGCTCCCGCGAAGGTGTGCCACAAACTAACACTGAACTAACAGCTTAGTTGCTTCAGATAAGTAACTGGGGCTTTAGCCTATTTACACCTGAAAAGAACGCCATGAAGGAAAATTAGATTTGTGTAGCTAATTTAGGATTTAAAAGAGCTTTGAAGAAGGTTTAATAAAGACTCCGCGTATTGAGCTGACCTGAACAGTGAGTCAAAAATAACGGCAAACGGTTGTTTTTCAGCACAGCAGTTAATTGCTGTTTAGGTTGTTCTGAGTTGCCTAGCTTTTTAATGCTCTGGAGAAAAGGTAAGTGAAGAAGCAGCAGAACTTGTAGCTTTACAGCTTAGAGGAGAGCAGAGCAAACTGGAGAGTTTCGGGCAGATACAGGTAAGCTAGATGAAAGAAACTTCGTAACAGCTGCAGTGTAGCTGAGGCAAATAGATGCACGTGGTAGCTAGGATGAAGTTCTTTGCTCATAGGTCCCTAAAGGGGTATTCCTGTAGGCAGCTTGTTCAGCAGACTAGCAAAAGGAAAGGAGATGCTGAAAAGTAACAGGGTGAAGTATTATATCAAGAATCAGCTGTTTTGATGATATAAATGAAGGGTGCAGACTCATTTGTGTGGCTGTCAGAAACATGATTTAGCTGGTATCAAGAAGTATAGATGGGATTATGGAGGAACAGGTAAGATGTTCGGGGCTACTGAAGTGCCTGTAACTAGGGACTAAAGGTACCTGTAAGTACTGTAAAGGGATTTCCACCCCTCACCCCCATAAATAATGTGCAAGTAGATTGTGGAAAACATTGTTACAGGTGACATCAAAGTCAAGGGGTTGATGTGACCTTTGAACATAAACTGGGTAGTTAAACTAACAGCAAGATTTGTTCTAACGGAATTCTATGCCGGTGTTCATTTAATTCTAGATCCATTCCTGTGTGCCACCAGGATAGAGCTGTGAAACCTGCTAGCTACTTGTTTGGAAGAGGTTTACTAATCTTGTTTTATCAGTGCACTTTGGCAACCTCAAGCCTGATGCCAGGAGCTATTTCATCCTTTCTTGGATCATTCCTGGATGTCAGCAGGCAATTAATGTTATGCTTTTTAATGATAGTTTCCACTGACTTAAAATTAGATTGAAATAGCAATGCTGTTTTCCACAGTTCTCCAAAGACTCCCCAGGCAGTAATTTTATTTGGTATCTACTAATTCTAATAGAATTCAGGCAAATTTCCTGACAGAAATGTAGCACTTGAAGTTACAACATCCAGCAAGCTGTTCAGTATAGACCATGGGAATGCGCTTACAGCTTCAGTCTCTGGGGATTAGGGGTCTATTTCTGACTCTGCTGTTGCCCAAGTCATGTGGAATGGAGGTACAGGGATAGTGTAATTGGCTTTTCTGTGTCAGTCCATAACTGGCTTCAGAATCCTGTGGAGAAACATAGTTTGTCCTAACACAGATAACTACAAGATCGTGTTATTTGAATGGGGTTACTGAAGAACAAAGTGCAGAGGTATATGAAAAGGCAATGTTTTGGGAGTTCTGTTTCTTGCATGTAACAAACGGCTGTGTGGAGATGTTCAAGGTATTTAGGTTGAATTAACTTGTAGTTTGGCTTCAGGGTTACTGGTGAATCATTGAAGATGTAGAGCAGGTGGATATGTGTTCATTAAACCAAACTAGAATTCTGGCTGGATACAAGTTCTAAGGTAGAATATAATTTTAAAACTGGCTAGCATAAATTAATGATTTGATTAATGATATTTGTTAGCATTCACATTTTTATTAATTTTTTATATTAATATTTTTAAGGTTCTTTTGTAAATAATTCAAATTTATTGCTCTTTTGTGGGCTGTGTAAAGAAGGCATAACTGCAATGTAAACTGAAGTTAATTTAAAATTCGCCATCCAAAACACACTTCACAAAAGGAAGCATGGAATTTCTTGGAGAAGAGTTTTTTTTAAGTAGCCTGCATTATACCTGTACCACCTCAAGCTGTGCCACGGGAGGTTTAGACTGCGTATTAGGAGAAATGTCTTCACTGAAAGGTTAGTGAAGTGTTGGAAAAGGCTTCTTGGGGGAAGTGGTGGAATTGCCTGAAAGCGTTCAAAAAGAGCCCATGTAGATGAGGCCTTCAGTGGCATGGTTTAGTGGTGGATTTGGCAGTCCTGGGGTGGTGGTTGGATTTTATGATCTTGAAGGCCTTTTCAAACCTGGTTATTCCCATCATTCTACATCAATAAATGCTAGTAAATGGGAATTGATATTTTAATTAGAATGCACCACAAAGACACACTGCTGTGTTTATACTGAGCCCTCCTGTGAAAGGTGTTGTTCTCTGTGTGATACCCAGTGTACGCTACTTTTGCAGGCTGCCTGATATTTACCCGAGTTCATGTCTTGTACACCTTAATGAAAATTAGAATCCCAAAGAATTCCTGAAAAAGGAAAATAATACATCTTATGTTACGAAGCTTTAGGTATGAGGGTGGACTGGCACCCAGAAAAATTTATGGCAGGGGGAGAGGAGGCTAAAAAAGGAAGGCAGAAGGAGAAGAGAGAAAGTATCCGAGCAGTTAAGATCCACTGCCTATTCCAGTAACAGATCTAAAACACAGCCCCATGCAAACTGCATTTGTCCCAGTTTTAATTTCATCTTTTTAGTATTTCACATGAACATGAAGGTTGAGCTCTCATGTTCTAACCTGCATGGACAAGGTCCGACATCACAAACAATTTGGCTAAGAGATTGCCTGTGTCGGTACAAAGATTAGTTGTTAAGTCTTCAATAGCTGTTTTTTATTATAGCCTCCTCTTGCTTGGTCTGTTTGGGTCTTAGGTGTTTCAAGTGAGTAAGATGCCGTATGTACCTTTACACTTACCCAGGAATAGCTAGACAACTGATTTTTAAGAATGTCATTAGTTACATCACTGTATTTTACCTTAAGAAAATTGGGACCCTTTGTAGGACGTGCGGTGTTTCTGTTTATGGTTCGTGATTTCATAAACTGTCATGGAAGTTAGTCTCATTGCACATATGTACCTTATGCGGGTAAGTCACAGCATATGAGATCCCTGTAGGAGAGTATGATCTTAACAGTTTTAAAGTCATTTTGGTAAGCACTTGTACAGTGGTAAAAAAGCATTGTCTGTGGAATTGTTCTGAGCCACCTTCAGGTCCATTCAAGCAATCTGCAGGACATTTTATTATCAACCTTCAGCCCTGCTGTGTAAACAAGATGCAGTGCTGGAGTGTTCCCTTAGGAAAGACAAGTGTTAGGTTCCAGTCTTCATACCAAATTACCTTCTGTTTCCTACTGTCCTACCTCTGACTGCTACAGTTGTGTTAAGCTTTCATTGTCTGCTGAACTAGTTAAATGCATCTTCCACCCATGTTGTTTGTCATATAAATGACAGGATATCATAGTCATTTATGTGTTTTCCGTATGAACCAATTTTGAAATGTTCCTTTTCTCCTGTTTTTGTAGACTTTGGAAAGGCCTAGGAAGATTTTTGGTTGTTTGCTTCTGAGTTCAGGTAGAAAGCAAACCTATTGCTAGACAGTATTACCGTCGCTTCTGTAATATTTCCTGCATTACTGCTCAATCAGTGTAATGGCAGAGCAGCATCCTTCACCTGTGATGTTTCTACTCGAGGAAAAGCACAGAAGGAAAGACGTTTCAGGAATGCTTTCTCTGGCCAGTATTTCACTCAAGACATTTTCTCTATTTTTAAAACGCCTCTGCTTTTCTAGGAAATCCTAGAGAATGTCTATAAATGTCTTTTTTTTTTTTTTTTTATACTCAGCCAAAATTCTTTGGCATTTGAACATCACACAGCTGATGTTCTTGGTTGTTGTGATAGCACTCAGGCACTATCTTTCCATTTACTGTTTAGTTTTTGTTTTGAGTGTGATGTATTTCATATTTAGGAAACTGGGTATTCCATTACTACTAATTGTTGTGCCTCTATCCTCTGTTTCCTCTAAAGGTGCTCAATTTCTGCTCACTTTGGTATAAAGCAATGCAGGGAGTTAATTTTCCCTACAACAGATCACATTGGTTTTGGGGAGCTTGTTACTTTTAGCTGGTCCATTGCAGTTCACCACAGTTTTCTTGTACCCCTTCTGGAACACATGACCTCTTCCTCAAAACTTTGAATTTTTTTTCTGGGATTCCTTTTAGACTGCACAACTTGCACCTTAGGTGTAGATTTTCTGTTCTTTACTTTTCCTGTTAGATATTGGCATGTCTGTCAGCATAGCTTGCATTCCTGAAGCTAAAATTGTGGGCTATTACTTGTGAGGGTGATGCGCTAGACAATATTTGCTTTAACTTTTGCCTTCCAAAATTAACATTATGAAATCTTTATCTATATTGTTTCATTCATGACCCTAATATGAGCATCTAGTACAATGAATAGATGTGCCAAGGTTCACCTATGAATAATGTGGTATGGTAGGAGGTAGATTATAGTTTTTCTACTTTTTAGCTTTGTTTGGAAGGGTGGGGAAACACCTTGGGTTGCTTCTGACTTTGTGACCATCAGTCAAAAATGTTTTCCTTCTTTCTCTGGACATTTTAGTGTTAGTGAGAGTAGTGCTTTTGCTGTTTCCAGGTGTTTGGAACAAATTTGATTTTTGCAGTGTCCTGATAATCATGGCAGGAAACTTCACACATTCTTTGCCTCCTTTTCTTTCTTATGTGGAGATGGAGCAGTGA